CAAATATAATCTGAATAGATTTTGACCATACAGAAAGTTAGCTGCTTAGCCTTTCTCAAGATCATCCTTTCAAGTTTAATTGTATGCAAATGTATGAACTTAGCATATGTTGGTTATTTTTTAAGAAAGACAAAAATGTCTTTAAAAGGTTGAAAGTGGTTTAGCTGGTGTCTAATGCATGTTAAGACAGTAACACTGGATCCTTGTTTAGCAATAATAAACATTTATAAGAATATTTGTTTAAATTTCATAATAAAAAAATATATTTTTGTTCGTTAATAGCGAAAAAAGCATTAATCTGATTGTTTTAGTTATAATTGAACATAAATTTCCTGTGTTAAAAATATTACTTAAGCTTTGAAATCCATAAACAGAAACTTTTCAAAGTTGTGTCATAGTTGCTGTAACAATTTATGCAACAACGTAGTATGCAAAAGAATATACAGGATTATGGTTAACATTAGGTGTCTGACAAATGAAAAGCTGATGAAATAAGTTCTCTAGCTTTTTAAACTGAAAATAGAAGATTCATAAAATTGTATCTACCTCAGCACACATTTAGGTAAGAAAAAAGAGCTGAAGGTATTTCAAGTCTATCTTCACCTTTCATCCAAAAGAAAGAGAATGCTAATCTCCAGAATATGAGAATGTCACGGCAACACTAATACTGCTGTCCACCCGAGTGGCGTGCAGCCTCCATGTCAGTGGCGTACTGACATTCTGTCCTAAAGACCTTTTAAAAAGAAGGAAAAAAGCAGATCCTCCTCATTCAAATTTTATCAACGCTGAAATAAAAACAATAAAATTCCCTATACCAGTTGAAAGCTTTAATTTAGTATACCTAAAACAATACTGCAGAATAAAGTGTTCATTAAAAAGGAGATATATTATTTTTATACCACAGGGTCAGGTGTTATTTCTGTAATATGAAACCAATTCCCAAAGCATCTTTCCTTTTTCTTTTTTTTTATTCCAGGCAAGAAAAACACAAAATTTAGAATAACAGCAACTGGCATAATCACAAGACAGGAGATACTTCATGTAGACCTTTTTTTTTCCTGTTTCATCACATCTATAAATAAATCATAGAAACAAACCAGAACTGAATCCTGCTGAAAACCACATCAAATGCTTTATAGCTTTAATTCTTTGAAAAAAGAATTAACAAATTGGTTTCCTTATTAAGTACAGATACTATGAAACACAAACAGCAAATTTCAAAATTGTCTGTTAAACACAAATCCCCACTAAATGAACCCCTGGACACCAGACCTTCATTCTGGTCTTTATCTTTGCATCAACGGTTGTGCAATGTGTAAATATTAGGTTTCATCTTTTTTAAACACAGAACTCTACCATAAACAATTATCACACCTATTCAATCTCACCAAAAAAATATAGCGCACCCTTAATGCCATTTTCCTGACCCGCCATAAATCTTAGCAAAACTTCTACGGTAACCCCCTTAAAATATACACTAGTAAAAATATATCAACACAGGCTTTAGTCAGTACTGTCAGAAAATATAATTGCTTCAGAAAGCATTCAGTCATGTATTTTTTCTGTGACGGACCTAAAAAACTGTGGATCCTTTCTAAACCCTCCGATTACAACTTTTGGTTCAAGCCTCTATTAGCTGTTTTTAGTTTCCATGCATGGAGTGCAACAGAGAACAGAAATGTTCTTTTGATTTTATTGGTGGTATTATAAATGAATAGGAAACTGCAGAATGGCTTGCGTTCAAGAATTTAAAGAATTTAAACTTAGCCTGTATCCAGCTTTTGCTAGTTTAGCATCAGAGCTAACGTCGAACTAGTAGGATGAGCTCCTCAATTGGGCTGGGTATTTTCGCCAAAGTCCTGAACCGATTCAATTTTGATTCATACAGTTCTAAATTGATTAATTTAGATTCGATCTGTTTTTACAGTAATGAAAATGGTTCAACTGTGTTTCAAAATACTCATGTATTTTAATTTTTCCTGTCACATTAAATACAAACTGCAAACTTGTAAATCAGAAAGTTTAAACATGAGATGTGAACAAAACTGTCTCAAAAGTGCAAACTTGTTTGTGAAAAGTGAAAAAGTGAAGCATCACGCGAGCAAGCAGACGTGGCACAGCAGACATGCATGAGCTGCATTATCTTCAATGCAGAAACCATATTTGCAGCGTTGTCTGTAACAACTACCAGGTGTTTTCTGGTCAGCCCCCATTTGTTAATGTCTTCAGTCAACCTATTGGGTATATTTGCAGCTGTCTTGCTTGAAGTAATCTTGAGTGCATCTTTACTGCTTATTTGAATGTGAACGTCACGCAGGTCACTATAAAATGAATCGATCTCATTCCCTAGACATCGATTTTTCAAAAATGCAAAGGAATCGATTCAAATCGATTTTTTTACCCAGCCATACTCCTCAATACAATTAAGTTTTGTCAATGGGAGTCACACTTAAGCTGTGATTTTAAACCAAAGGGGTTACATGCTATAGTGTTACTTTGAATCCAAAGGTTTAGATGTTGTTTTAATGAGGTTATTTGTACTCATTTAAAAATTGAAACTGTTTGTAGACGTGCATGTGGTGCAGTGGTTAGCGCTCACGACCCATATATAGAGGCCTTAGTCCTCGACGCGGCCGACTCTGGTTCGAATCCGACCTTTGGTCCTTTGCCGCATGTCTCTACCTGTCTCCCGTACCCCCTTTCCTGTCAGCCTACTGTTGAAAAAGTTATCCACTAGTGCAGCAAAAAGACACACACACAAAAAAAAAACTGTTTGCAAACTTATTTTTCTTTAACCGCAGTTCTTACAGATAAAATGCTCCACCTAAGCTTTATTTGTGTGTGGTGGGGGGGAGGGGTTGGACCCTTTTTCTAGAACAGAGTTTAAAACTTTATTCTGCCTTCATAAATAGTGCTTAGGGTCAAACCTATCTTCTAAGAGACCCCAAGACTAAAATTCACACGACACCTTTATATGAAATGTACATATTCTACTTTTGCTAAGCAAGCTACTGCTAAAGTCAAACTTTTCCAGGCGCACTTTAATAATTTCCACCACTGAAATGATTGTTTCCAATCAACCCAGCTGGGTTTACTTTTGAAAGAAACTGCATGAAACCTTAATAGAAGAAATTAAGAAAGTCTGTAATTTCTCACACATGAATCATAATTTGATCCTTTTTTCTTTGTGTGTCTTTTTACAAGCTGGGAAACATAATCTTAACATTTAGATTTTATTTTTTCTTTTAATAATGGGAGTGTAAATTAATCAGTTATGTGCTTTAATTCAAATCTAACGCAATAAGATGTGCACATTTACAACTATCTTATTAGTTAAACACCACACCAGCAGTGTGCTTTTTCAGTGTAAGGTATTTTTAAATAAATCTACCAATCAAAAATACACTTCATTAGATGTATTATAATGAAACCATCTCTGCAAATATGTTAGAATGTTTTTATTTAAAAGAAATCTACCTATATATCAGTCATGTTTTAATTTCAGAAGTTTTCAGAAAAGTTTTCTTAACTCTTATTATAAGCCATCTCTATACCTACTCTTATTATTTTGTAAAGGAGGAGAAATAAACATTTAGAGTGGCTAGGGAATCTTTTCATAGTTCAGAGATTGTCTCACTGATTTTTTTCCAGCCATTCAGCATTACATAACACACCAAAGGCGTTCTTTTCTCCCTGTCTTTCTCCTTTCCTGGCGCACTTTAATCCAAAACGTAAAAAGGGTGGGGTGTATATGGGTCAGCAGGTTAGGAGTGTTTCAAAGTCAAACTTGTGAAAGAAGAAATCAATCCAGGAATCTTCCAAACTACCTGTCTCGGCCTTTTCTATTACATAAGCGCTCAGGCAGCGTGCGCCAGCCCACAAAAAGTCCCACAGTATCGCCTGCAAGTGGTGTATAAATACCCGCTTTAAGTGGACTCCCTTATTTATGATTAAAGTAGACAATCGCAGTGAAGGAGTGGGTGAACACTATTCCTTTAGAGTGAACAGATCCGCGATGAGGATGATTTCTGCTCTCGGTTGCGCGCCTCTGTTTATGGCTAAACCTGTTACATAACCAGCTTACATTCCACATTCACCATATCACATTCTAAATATACCCCTTTGCGCGAAGCGCAGGAGGAGAGCAGACGCATGCAAAGCCCGCACTTCAATGAAATAATTGTCCCACCTACACCTCAGCGCAATGTGAACTCTGCTTGCTCGGAATCGGCAGAGAAATCCTCATTTCTTTGAACTTGGTTATACTGGAGACAGTAGAGAGGGGGTGTGGTTAAACACACTGTCTTGTACTGTAAAACATGGACGGGACATGATGGATAAATATGATATTTGAGGGCTTGTTTGGTTTTATTTGGGTTGCAAAAATATATGTGCAGCTTCTGCTTTGCAACAATAAATAAAATAAAGCTCCTATTGCGTCTTTTTTTTTTTTTTGCAGAATGGAACAGCCTAAATGAGTGGATAAAACAGCCATATGACGCTGTTAGAGGGGAAAACGTCCCTGTAACCAAACAGAAGAGGACTGATCGATAAACTAACCCACAGTTTCCGCAAAGTTCACTTTCGACACTTTGCCAACAAAGCGCCTGAGCGCACAGGTTGGCCTGTTAGTGCAATGGGAGTAGCTCCTGATAGTGGAGTCTGAGTTCCTGGATAATTGATTAATCTTGCAGTCGGAGTAAATGTGACATCTGTGACCGTATCACCCCCCCACCCCCCATGATTTTGGCTGTCAGCGGAGCAGCGCGCACATAGACGCACACAAACCGAAGCGATAATTGCAATCAAACTGGAAAAAATGCCTCTGATCGTGCATATCTAAGCAACAAGAGAAAAATAAAGTATTGGATAAATGAAACACGGCGTGCAGTTATCATGAGGATATATGATCTGATTCATTTTGAAGTTGGATTAGAAAAAAACGCCATCGGATCGTTTTCCCCCATTACGCTGAAACTGTCCATTTGCAGCTCGCTTACCTCTGTTGGTGCTGGAGCAGCTCTGCTTCCGAACCGGGGCTGGATGCTCCGCTTTTCGGAGCGTCTCCAGGTTTACCGGGGTTTCCCTGACCGGGGTAGCCGGCTCCGAGGCGCTGTTGCCCGGGTCGCTCGCTGGATCTGGAGGGGACTCCATGTTGATTTCTCTCTCCTGCTTCAGATTCACTATCAAACTAAAGATAAGGCTTTTAACTAACTATCGGCGATCTGTGAGGTCGGACACTACGTCCTGCTATCTAATTTAGACTAGAAGTAAGAAATGAGAAATGCGAGTGTGTCTGGAGGTGGGTGTGTAGGTTTGATTGTCCACTAGTAGCGCTAGTGAGAGCTCAAGTCATGCAAGCTGAAAAGGGAGAGGTTGTCAATATAGCAGGAGAATAGGTAGAAGGCCTGATAGTAATCCAAACTAATCGACCCTGCACCGTTTTGCATGAGAATTGGGGTAATTTAATGCAACCCAGCCTTCACAAATGATTGCATTCATTTAGATACAAAGGCAATAACAGATTTGTTGGGGGTTTTTGTGTGCTTACATCAGATGTTTGTTTTGGAATTTAAAATTGCCCCAAACAGTCACAAAACCAGAGGAGTAGGCAGAAAATGTTTATAAGGGTGGCCAGGCAATAACCAATGAGCGGATAGAACCTCAGGGTCAATCTACATTATTCCAACAGAAAAATTAATGAGCAAAACATCCATATTTCTAAATTAAAACTAACTATACTTTCCAAAAGCCTTTGCTAACAAATGGATGCACATATTTAAACATCCATGCTTCCTAGATAAAAGGTATAGTGGATAAAATTCTTTCTGGGTTAAGCTCTCGGGCAAACATCTTTTCCATTGTTAATACTTACCTACTTTTATCAATAATCATTCTTCATAAAATTGATATTTACAAGGACTAATATCTACATGAAGCAAATTTTTACACTGTGAGATCAATAAAGTCATAAATTGATTATTTAATATGTTTTTATTAAAAACATTTATTTATTTATGATTCAACCAAAGACTCCTACGTGACTTGCATTTTCTTTTATAGCCTATATATATGTAAAACACAAAATCTAGTTATGAAAATAGCCTGAATACTGTAATTATTATCTTTAATATTTGTATATTGATGTGCATAATAAACCACAGTGTTTTTGTTGTCAAGTAACTGTTAATATATGAAAAATTAAAATGTTTTGAATATTCCATTTGAGAGTATTACTGCTGCCACCATCTGTATCAGAGGGGGAAAAAATGGTAGGGGGGGCCACAGGGGTGGCCAATGATTGGCTAAGGGTGGCCATGGCCACCCCTGACCCCCCATCTAGCTCCGCCCCTGCAAAAAACATCATATTATTGCGCAGTCCAAAACATTATTAAGCTTTAAATTGTATTTTAAGATGTAAAGTTAGTATTGTATATGTTATTTATGCAAAAACTCATAAATCACTATTATTATTAAAACTATCAGTTTATTTCTGGTCAAAATGCTATCGTCAGGTTATCATCTGCAAAAGTAGTCAAAAACCACAGAGGTGCATGAAATATTCACCACAGATTCCTTTAAAGGGAATTTGCCGGTGCATGTTGAGCTGCAGAAGCAGTAGTCTGCACACTTATCTCAGGCATAAAACTGCCCGACCAAAGAATTGCCCAATAATGCATACGGGACTAGTCAATCGTCACGTCATTATTTTCACCAAAATCACCATCATCCTAATCTCCAACATCCTCCTGTGGGAGGAGCAGACTGCATATGTGAGCAGTCTGCAGGAGCTGATGAAAGAACTCTTCCCTCCTTTCTCATATAATAACATGCGAGTCTTCGCTCTGCCTGATAAAAAAGGGAGCTGACAGCGCTTTGGAGAGAATGCGTTTTAAGATACAATGCTGTCTGCTCCTGCCATCAAACGTCACTCTTGGAGGCAGAATCCAAGCACTGCTTGTTGCACACACACACACACACACACACACACACACTAAAAAAACAGTAAGAACCATGCTTCCTGCATGTGACCAGGGAAACCACGCCTCTTCAAAGCAAGGCACGTGGACTTTGACATGGTCCTGCCCTTCAAGCAGACAGCTCTTTCAAGTCAGTCATAAAAGTGACTAACTCCAACGTTTCAGCCCCGTCAAAACATTTTTTTTTTTAGATCAACCTTAATACAATGTTTAAGGGAGGAATAGATAACTTCACAAAGGATATCTCACAAAACAATAATATATCTCAGCACATTTAATAAAAGAGGTAATTGCCTCTGTGTTTTTATAAGAAAAAGTTTTAAATTCAGTTTTGCTTTTTTTATTTTGGATTTTGTTTGAATTAATCAAATATCATACTTTTGCATTTTGAATCGGTGTAATTATGACTGTAATTAATACTGACTTAAAAAAACATATGTTTTGTGCGCAACCTAAGCAGGTATGCTTTAATTACCAAGATTGCTTTGCTGGTTTTCGCGATATTTACACAATATCTGAAAATAATATAATAGAAATTAGATTGTAACTATGTGGGAAAATTCACTTACACTAGCAGCAAGTGAAAAAGCAAACATAAGCATGTACATTCTCACAAAGGTAGAAAATTGATTGACTTTTTTGATCTCAGTGGAGAAATGTACTCGTTACATAAGCTCAAATAGTCAAAGGAGAAGGTGCCAAAGGAGGTGCATGGGATATATACAGTATATACAGTGCGTACACATATGACAGGTTGTTTTTTTGTTTGGTGATGAGGGTCTCTGATAGCAGCCTTTTTAGCACCTAGGATGTTGCAGTCATCATTGAATGAGCTCATTTATGCAGCAGCTGCATGAATTGGGTGGGAGACATTATCCAATGGTGATGATAATTTTGCTAGTTCTTCTGTTTTTCATGGCCTGCACTGACCTGCAATGCCTTAGAGATTAGATTTTCTCAACTGGATTGCTCTTCAGGTGAAAACCAAGATAATTACGAGAGGAGCAAAATAAACAAATAAGTAGAAAGAAATATCAATAGCAACAACAAAAAGCAAAAAAGACAAAACAAAATTGGGTTGTAATCGAGGCATAACATTTTTTTGAAATAATAACAGTATAAGTGTTTAAAATCAGTGCTAACCTCAACTTCCTACCCAGTTTTTCATTAGTGGTTGTGTTGATATTAAACAGGTTATGTACACGGGCTTAATGAATCTGTTCTGGCAACCTGTGACCTGCAACTTTGAAAACCACATCCTGGGTAGGTTGGGGGCTCTTTGCAGCCAAAAAACTTTCTCACCATCCTCTGTTGCTCTCTTAAACTTGTACTACTAGCCCCTCTGGTCTGAAAAAAAGTTGTAATACCCAGCTGGGTTCGGAGATTTGATCTACTAAATACTTTCTAACCTGAGTGTGGTGTATGATCTAGTTTTCTAATCTAGCTGGGTTGTCTCAGCTAAAGGTGATTGAGAAAAGGGCGTAAATTGCTGTACTCTTGATGTAACAACATTTTTTCCTGTTACAATTTAAAAACATGCACTAGCAAATAACAAATTCTTAATGCTGTCCTATTCTAGCCTATTTTTCTGTATAACTAGCCCATCAATATGAAATGCATGATTTATTTATTGCATGTTTAACTGCAGTATATTGTTTCAAAGTGTTAATATTTTATTCAGTTCAATTCAACTCAGTTTATAGGGCCAATTCATAACACATGTCATCTCAAGGCACTACACAGAAACAATTAGAAGAGAGGATACAGTCAGATCGGTTCAAAGTTTTCTGACTAAAGAAAAACCAGCTGACTACATCTACTCTTTGACTTTACAGCAATCCCTCAAACCAAGCATGTTTGTAGCAACAGTGTAGAGGAAAATCCCTTTAGCAGTAAAACAAACAGGGCTACACCGGTAACCATCCAAGCTCCAACATATATATACAGAAATGTCTATGGCAGCACCTCCACCCACCTCTCTACTCACCCAGCAAGTAAGCAAACATCACTCTGTTTTTTAAAATAAATGCAAATCCCTTTATTGTCCCACAATGGGGAAATTCACTCTCTGCATTAAACCCATCCCCTTGGGGAGCAATGAGCTGCCGCTGTGTGGCTCCCGGGGAGCAGTCTCGGGTTAAAGGTCTTGCTCAGGGTCCCACAGTGGCAGTCTGTGGGAATGAGTGGGGTTTGAACTCAGAACCTCCAGGATCCAAGTGCAATGCTCTAATGTTCAGCTATAAGCTTTATTAATAGGAAAATATAGCCTTAAAAGTAGAGAAGGTGTCTGTCTCACAGACTAAAACTGGTAGTTGGTTCCATGGGAGAGGAGCCTGGTAACTAAAATATCTACATCCTATTCTACTTTAATAAATTCTAGGAACCACTAGTTAACCTGCAGATTGAGAGCGAAGTTCTCTGTTAGGAACATAAGATCTCAGATCTCTGATATGACATGGGGCTTGTTTATTTAAGGCTTTATATGTGAGAAGCAAGATTATGAATTCAATTCTAGATTTTACAGGAAGCCAACGGAGAGAAACTATGATAGGAGGGATATAATTTCTTTTTAATTTTAATCAGAACTCTGGCTGCAGCATTTTGGATCAGCTGAAGGCTTTTAACTACAGTTTGTTGACTCCCTGATAGTAAAGAATTACAATAGTCTAGCCTCGAAGTAACAAATGCATGGATTAGTTTCCCAGAATCACCCCTGGACAGGATATTTTTGCAATATTCCGCAGATGAAAGAAGGAAAACCTAGAAACCTCTTTGATATTAGATTTAAATGACAGGTCCAGATCAAAAATAACACTAAGATTTTTTACTTTATTATCTGAGATTAAATTAATCCCATCCAATTGAAATGACTGACAAATCAAATTGTTTTTCAAAGACTCTTGTCCTAATACTATTCTGTTTTGTTAAGAGTCATCCAGGTTTTTATGTCTTTAAGACATGCCTGTAATCTATGTAATGGGTTAGCTTCATCTGGATTTGTAGACAGATATAGCTGGGTATCATCAGCATAACAGTGAAAATTAATCCCATGCTGTCTAATAATTCTACCAATTGGGAGCATATATATAGTAAAGAGAATTGGTCCTAGCACTGATCCCTGTGGCACTCCACAGGTAACCCTTGAGCATCAGGAAGGTTTGTCATTAACGTGAACAAACTGAAATCGGTCAGATAGATACGATTTAAACTAGTCTAGTGCTGTACCTTTAATTCCTAAAAAATATTTAATTCTTTCTAAAAGAATATTATGATGAACTGTATCAAATGGGCCACTGAGATCTAACAGGA